TCTCATGTACAACATGTTACTTTGTCTACTTCAGGAATCAATCATGGTGTTCTCACTGATCGCTCAGCTCTTGTGGTTCCTAGTAGCCATAGTGATGGTTATCAAGGTGGTCGGCGTGGTCATGGTAGTAGAGGAGGTCGTACAGGTGGTCGTGGGGGCCGTAGTGGACCTCGTTCCTGTACTCACTATGGCCATGGGGGGCACACTGTTAATTTATGTTGGGATTTAAACCCTCTAGTGCTGCAAATCAGGCTTCCTATCAGGATAACACCTCTATTGTTGTTTCTATACCTCAGTCAGCTCTACCAGACACTAGGTTGGTTACTATTACACGAGAGGAGTATGTCCAGTTCCGGTCCCAGCAATAAGCTGTCCCATCTCTCTCCACTGCTAATTTTGCCCAGTTAGGTACTACTTCCACTTGTTTATTGTCCTCCACTCGTAGTCCCTGAATCATAGACTCTGGCACTTCTGACCACATAACTAGTGCATCTGATATTTTTTTACTTATCAGTCTGCTACTTTCACACAGAGTGTTACTCTTACTAATAATACTTGTTTTAAAGTTTCAGTGCTGGGGACTACTCACTTGAGTCCTGATATGTCCTTATCTTCTGTGTTATTTGTTCCTTAGTTTCCTTTTAGTTTACTTTCCATTAGAAAGATTACTCATTCTATTAATTGTTCTATAACATTTTATCCCTCTTACTGTGTCTTTTAGGATCTCAAGACGAAGAGGAAGATTGACACGGGGGCATAAAGCTGGTGACTTATATTATCTTGACTTTGATTCACCTACCCAGGCTCTACAGACCTGGTTGTCTCCGTTTCAATGGCATTGTCTTCTTGGACATCATTCTCTCCAGAATCTGAAGCGTCAAGTTCTCAGTCTTAGTTATGTGTCGTCTTTGTCTTGTCAAGCTTGTCAACTTAGTAAGTATCACCGTGTGTCATTTCAGTTTAGAGTCAATAATCGTGTGTTTAGTCTATTTGAGTTAGTCTATTCTGATGAATGAGGTCCAATAAAGAATATTTTATCTAATAAATATCCTTATTTTGTAACATTTGTGGATGGCTATTCTGTGTGATTTGGTTATTTTTTATGAAAGCTCGGTCTGAATTATTCTCTATATTTGAGACCTTTCGTAAGGAAATAAAAATTCAATATGGTTGTCGTATACGTACTTTACATTCCAATAATACTCAGGAATATGAATCTGATCTTTTTTTCAGTTTATCTTAGTAAAATTGGCATTATTCATCAGACTTCTTATGCTTATACCTCTCTACAGAATGGTGTTGCTGAACACAAGAACCGTCATTTATTGGAAATCACCCGTGCCCTGTTATTCCAGATGAATATTCCTCGATATTTTTGGAGTGATATTGTTCTTACTACTTGTCATCTTATTAATCGTATGACATCCACTGTGTTAAATGGGCAAAATTTATATTCTGTCATTTTTCCTGGTAAGCCCTTATTTTTTCTGACCTCTAAGGTTTTTGAACATGTCTGTTATGTTCACAATTTGGGTCCTGGGTTTGACAAACTTGACCCTTAAGCTACCAAATATGTATTTCTTGGTTACTCCAACACACAAAAGGGGTATCGTTGCTACAGTCCTTCTCTGCGCCGATATTTTACTAATTCTGATGTCACGTTTGAGGAATCTGTTCCAAATTTTTCAGCACCTTCTCAGCCTTTGGATCTGGACTTTGGGTCGTCTCTTGTACCACCATCTCTTTCCTCATCTTTAGTTATTTCGCTACCTATTATGTTACCATCTACTTTACCTCTTCTTGTCTACTCTCTCCGTCCTCGCCTATCGACTAAGGTGCCCGTATCATCATTGTTGCTGCCTTATAATCCTGGTACATCATATAATTTAGACTCTTTACCTATTACTTTTCGAAAAGGTACTCGTTCGTGTCTTACTAATCATGTCATTGCTCATTTTGTTTCATATGATGTCTTGTCTCCTGTCTTCTCTTGTTTTACTTCTCAATTATCTACTATATCTATTCCTAAGCATTTACAGGATGCATTATCTGATCCGGGTTGAAGGAAAGTTATGGAGGAGGAGATGGATGTCTTACATCATAATAGGACTTGAGATCTTGTTCCTTTACCTCATGGTAAATGAACTGCTAGTTGTCGTTGGGTGTATATTGTTAAATTTTATCTAGATGATTCTGTGGAGCGTCTTAAAGCCCGGCTTATTGCAAAGGGCTTTACACAAGCTTATGATGCTGATTATGAAGATACTTTCTCTCTTGTTGCCAAAATTTTCTTGGTTCATATCTTGATTTTTTTGGCTGCTAATCTTGATTGACCCTTGTTTCAGGTAGACATAAAAAATGCCTTCCTACATGGTGATTTGATTGAAGAGATTTACATAGAGCAGTCACCTGAGTTTACTGCTTAGGGGGAATATGGTAAGAGTGTGTGTCGGTTAAAAAAATCTTTGTATGGTTTGAAATAGTCACCAAGGACATGGTTTGGTAAGTTTTCAGATGCAGTTTTAGAGTTTGGTCTTCTTCGATGTTAGACAGATCATTCTATATTTCATAGACAAACAGATGTTGAATATGTTATATTGGTGGTCTATGTAGATGATATTGTGACTACTAGAAATGATTCTAAGGGGATTGTCAAGTTAAAAATATTCTTACGGGATCAATTTCATACTAAGAATTTGAAAAAATTTAAGTATTTCTTGAGTATTGAGGTGGTCACTCAATCTAAATAGGGTATTTATTTATTCCAGGGGAAATATGCACTTGACAGGTTAGAGGAAGCAGGTTTGTTGGGTGATAGACCTATTGATGTTCCTATGAATCCGAATCAGAAACTTTTGATGGATGATTGTGTACTGTTTGAGAATCTGGGTAGGTATCGTAGATTGGTTAGGAAGCTCAATTATCTCACTATTACTCAACCGGATATTTCCTATGCAGTCATGGGGTGTTCTAGAGTACCACATTAGGAGGTAGTTACTCGTATTCTGCGATATCTCAAACGTGCTCCTAGACTTGGGTTGTTATATCGAGCTAATAGACATTTTAGAGTGGAAGGTTTCTTAGGTGTTGATTGGGTTGGCTCTCCTTCTGATCGAAAATCAATTACTGGTTATTGTACTTTCTTAGGAGGTAACGTTGTCTCTTCGAAAAGTAAGAAACAATCTGTGATAGCAAGATCCAGTGCTGAGGCTGAGTATAGGGCAATGACGCATACGACGAGTGAGTTAACTTGGCTACTACACTTCCTTTAGTAAATTGGACTTCTAGTTTAGCTTCCTTTACAGTTGTTCTATGACAACTAGGCAGCTATCCATATCACTGCCAATCCGGTGTCTCACGAGAGAACAAAACATATTAAGGTTGATTGTTACTTTATTCGGGACAAGATAGTAGCTAGGGAGATTACAGCTCCATTTATGATATCTGAAGATCAGTTTGCAGATATGTTTACCAAAGTATTGACTTGTACACGTCTTACAGCGATTTGTTCCAAGTTTAGATTATATGATATATATAGTTCAACTTGAAGTGAAGTGTTAAAAAGTATTAGGATAGTATGTGTAGTTTGTTAATAGTGTTAGGGTATTATGTGTAAATATAAGAGGGTGTATGTGTAATTCTTATTATTGTGAGTTAACTATAAATACGAGTGATGTATGAGAGTTAGGGTAAATTTTTAACCTCTTTTTTTCTCTCTAATATTGTCTATAATATTGTATTATGTTAATCCTCCCAATTTAATACAACAAATTAAAGCAAAATCATTTATAAAACCCAAACTGAATCTTTTGTTCAAGCATGTATAGCACATAGATTTGGCAATGATAGCTGATGACTGAAATGTCTGCAGGCATACTTGTATTGGCTTTACAATGTGCCGTGGGGTTTGTACAAAGCTGTGACCTACATAAAAGAACATTACGGGAACCCTAACTTGATTTTGACTGAAAATGGTAGGTCATATGCAACTTTTTAAGCCATTTTAAACCTCTGATATCTTAGTTTTCCATTAATGTTGTGGACATTCTTCAAGGGAGATAAATCTGTATCAACTATAAATATTTTGCAGGAATGGATGATGTGGACAATATCCCCCTTCCTAAGGGTTTGCTTGACAGCACTAGAATCAACCACTATAGGGGCTATCTGACTGAACTCAAGGGGACAGTCGATGAGGGTGCCAACGTGATAGGCTACTCTTGACAACTTCGAATGGAGATGGGATACATTTCAAGGTTTGGCATCGTTTACGTCGATTCAAAATCCTTACGAGGTACCCAAAGATGTCTGCCTATTGGTTCAAGAAATTACTCCATCAAAGAAAGTATTAAGCAGCAACACTCGGGCTTTCTCTTTTAGTTTAGTTATCTTTTTATGTGTTTTGTAGAATTATGAACCACTAAGGAATCAATAAGCTCTAGCCAATTGCTCAAATGCCTAGTATTCTCAGTTTTGTTCTTGACTAACAACTGCCTTTATTTTCTCTGCATTTGCAATTATGTGATGAAGACAAATATCGTACGGCAATGCAGAAAATGTTTCTGGACCCTTTTACAGAGTCTGATACCATAACGAAGAGGGTCCTGATAAACCACATTTATGATTTCCCGTGGCTCTCATGATGCACTTTCGACATCACAAAGTTACCAGTCTTATGCTTAATGTATTAGTTATTGATGTCACTCTCAGAATCCTGTAATATACAGAGAAAATTTGCTTTAAGGAATAAGTCTGGCTGTTGCAAAATTGTATGTGTGTGTGTGAGAGAGAGAGAGAGGGAACTAGGTGTCGTGTTTGCTCTGATTTTCTCTTCAGGTTGTTGTCATTCAAAACCTCTTCTTTGTGAGATCTTTCCCCTTAATCCGAATGTATGCCAAACTGGATTCCTATGGTTAAATTCATATTGCGGGTCAGTATAATCAATATGTCAACCTCTGTCAGATGAACAGTTTATAGAATGGACAAAACATCTCAAGAACTCAGAATATGATTTATTATCAAGAAGGGTTAAGGATTACACACGAGAAAAGAAATTCAAAATACTGCTTTTCTTATTTCCTGAACTGTGGCAATTGCTTCTCTTCGACTTCTTTTCACTTTTTCGTCTCCCTTTCCCATCAGTCATCTCTATAGGTTTAGACTCAACACTTCCCTGCGACTTTGGAGTTAAGCATACAATTTCCGAATTATCAACTTTTGTTACAACTGAAACTTCTTCGATAACGCTCTCTGTCCTGTCAAAATGAGCTTCATCTAGCTTTCTTTTCTTAAACGGGTTGTTGTCAGGAACCTTTAACAGATTCTTATCAGGAATTCTGCTTTTTTCTTCCTTGGTTTCATTGTTCAGAGGGAATATCAATTTTTCAAGGACTACATCCTCATTCATGTACTTGATTTCGAGCTTCTGGTTCCTTTCCTCCAAAGTAGGCTTCTGCTCCACTACAACAACAATGCCAACAGAGAATGATCTCATTATAAAATATAGCCATTAATTTTTTCTAAAGAGATTCACAAGTCATGCAAAAAGAGTTTCAAATTGTTTGAGATAATTTGAGTATGTGTATTTCAATGAGTTTACAGGATTTGACGCCAAAAATATGGATAGACACCCTCAAAGACTAAAGAACTTGCCTGTGGAATTACGAGAGGAAACTACAGTAAAGCAGCTTCGTTGTGTGGATTCTGTGGTAGCCTCTTGACTGATAAGTTGATTAGGAAATTTAATGCAGGTAGTAAATTTCAGATGATTTTGAGCACTATGAAAGTAATTAAAGGCCTCCATGGTACAAGGGTCCATCTTTCCTTCTGCAATTGCAGTTGCTATTGACGGAGGTAAGTCTCTAATTGCAGTCAAGGAGAAAATACGATTTTGGGGCAGAATAAAGGATACGGCCCCAGAAAAGCAAAAGACCTGTTAAAAAAAAATAGAAATATAGGATACGGCCCCAGGAAATCAAGCCCTTCATCTAAAGCCTGCAAAAGGATTTGTGGAATGGGTTTGAGGTGTTTGAGCTGCTTTGAATCCATATCATATCTGCACGAGCTAAGAAATGGGGCAATAAGTGTGTGCAACATGTCAGCATAAAATGGGTGACAAGTGATTGATAAATAGAATACGTTACAGTTCACATACATTCGGGCATGATTGAAGACCGCAACTGCCTCTCTGAATGCTTTTGTGTAATCTTCAGGCATTTGATTGCCCTTCTCGAGCTTTAAGACGGATAGAACCTGAACATATTAAATGCCCACGAGTTCTTTCTAATGAGGGTCGAAAAAATAGACCATCTTCACATGTATAAGTTCTAACTATACAACAAGTGACATGGTTGAAAATAGAAAAGATGACAATACCTCAACGATACTCTAGATGTACAAACTTATGTATTATGAGAGGCAGTTGCGGTCGGATGAAGAGAAAAAAAGACTGAAGAGAAAAAAACTTAACTGAATATTATTCCTTTCTACTCATGCAGTGTTACATACATAGCATGTGCAGATTCTCCAAATGAAATATCATACGGAATCATTCACCGAGTAAGATTATTTGGAGAAACATATGGATGTTATCCTCTTACTGGCTTTCAACAATTCTGGAGATCTATAACTGTCAATAACTAGCGTTATTTTTTTTTCTCTTGTTCAGTATCTAGTGTTATTGGCTTATGATTGTCACGGACCATAATTTTTTCTTTCTACAATAATGGCTCTAAAGTAGTCAGTTAGCTTCAGTTGTGTCTTTTCTTTAAGGTTTTTCAGATTATTATGGCAAGTTTCTAAAATATGAATGTCAGCATTATATTATTCGCATATAAACTATAAGGAGTTCATAACTTTATGCTTAAATGTGAAATTTTTACAAGATTTCGTCATTTGTTTTGGTGGGTGAGGAATTTGTTTACAAATATGTTTCTGTAAGGCTAGGTAGGGCATACATCTCATGCCAGGCACCTTAGGCTGGCACATGAGCTACTTTTATGGCCACCATGTGCCATTACATGGAAAGTTGGTAACCACAAAATGAAAGGAACTATTATTATATTTTATGAAAGCATGTTGGGGTTTCCAAGTTGATTTACAGATGTTCCATGAGTATATGCGCTTAATGCGGGAGCTTTTTCACATGATAAAAGGAATATATTCCTATCAATTTTCTTCAGACATTCAACGACATATTAGAAGTGAAATGAAAACTATTCCTCTGAATGAGCAAAGAATTCACTTACACGGTCTAAATTCCGATACTTGGAAACCAAATTGTAAGCTTTTGCAATCCCAATTCCAGGAACAGATGGAAGGAAATCACAGCCAGCTAAGACACACATCCCTGCAGAAGTGCTAGATATTAGCATACTGTCTCTTAAATTTAGTGGGTTCATACGCATCACAAAAGAGAAGTTCATGACTTTGCAGAATATGTTTCTGCTAGTAGAATTACTAGAATAGAATTTGTAGTTCGATTGCCACTGGAATGGTTTTACACCATTGACTAAGTAGACAGAACAAGATTTATCATTTTTGTAAGGAGTAGAAATCCCTCAGAGATACTAAATGTAAAAAACTAGAGGAAAGTCACCAGTGAACAATTCTTCGTTAAAATTTTGGAAGGAAGGTACTCGAGCCACAGCATCAAGAACTTCCCTAAGCACCATCTCTTCACCAGTGCCATACCTGTCCATCTTAAAGATAATCTGCTCAAAATCAATGCAAATCAAAACAAGAGAAGTTTCTTAATATTGGATTATGTCAAGTCATCAGGAGAGCAGCAGACCTCCGTCTGCATGTATCAAAGATTTGTGGAAGTTCTTACAGCTGCGCAACCATAAGCTAGAAGATCACTATCCTCTGAAATTACAGCTACAATTCCACCTCTTTCTTCTTCAAGGCTGGACAGATATGCCAGCTGTGCATCGGCCTCATAAGGAGCTACTACAAATTCAATATTCTCTGAACTCAAAATCTGCAAAATTAGCAGTTGATAAAATCACAAATGAACCAGAAACATAACCACTCAACACAGGGAACTCAATAAACTACGTGCCCAAACATAGAAGGAACTTCAGAAAAGTTTATAGTCTGTCAGGTGAGAAGCATTATTTAACATAACAAACATATGAAATTTTCAAAAGAGCATAAGGTTAATAGAATAGAACTGCCAGCATTTAAAGCTGCAAATAAGTGAGAAAATTCAGCAATCAGGTACCAGAATAAGTTGATGCGCCATCGATGGAGTGACACTCACTGCTCTCTGCATTGAAAGTGGAAATGTAAATATGTATGCTTCATTATTTCAAATTAGAAGCATACAGTTATACTTTGTTGTTTCCATTAGAAGCGTGCACATTCATACATGAAACTCATTACATGAAGGATCAAATACTGTAAACAGGCTAATAAGAGATAAACACAAAAGCGCACTTGTTTAGATTGGATGGGAAAGGAGAGAGAGTTCTAATATCAGACTGATTTTGGTACATTGAAAGACGCAATTGAAGAAATTTGTTGATAAATATATTGTATATCCGCTCAGTCACCCATTTACACAAATAAATGAGAGATGATGTAAAATTCTAGGAAAAAAAACCTTTCCAGATAAGATAATAGCAATGAGGGAAAATATTACTCAGCAAATTTGGGCCAGAACTAACGCATGAAAGTAGATGGGTTTGGACACACAAGGGGAGTATGCATGCTAATGACTTCAACAATTGAAACCACATAGCATTTCAAGGTGTTGATAACATCAAGACACTAAATTTCATTTCAAAATAGTCGAATCATCCTAAACAGTTCCGTTTCCATAGAAATTAAAACAAATGAATGCCGAAACTCCAATATTTCGCAGTTTTTAGCTTTTTAACGTGTTCTAGTATGTTTTGATCAATGTTTTAGAACATTTTACAAACAAACTTTAAATTGTTTTCTTTGTTTCGATCCTTTTTTTGAAACATTTCTAAAATGTTTCTAAATCTAGGTTGATCGAAACTATGCATGGAAATAAAATTTTGATACATATACTTAAATCACATTTATTTAATACTTTAACAAACTCAACATGAAGATATCAGATTAGCCAAAGTATTTTTCAACATACATTTGAGAGACAAAGCAGAGGAATAGAATTCAGCAAGGCCAGTCAACAGAAAGAGGACAATCCTAATAATACCTGAAAGAGCTCAGAGGCAGCACCAACATTGCCTTCCTTGAGCTTCGCCATAGCTAAGTCACAATTAGCTTTTCTTCTCCTAAATTTAAGAAAAAATAAAAATAATTTTAAAATTGTTATCATCTCAAAGAACTGAAAATGGGTGTTCTTCTGCACAAAGTAAGTGTAGAAACATGCCTGTGTCTCTCGTGCTCTGTCACTGCCTTGCACGGGATATTCCCACCATCAAAAACAACAACAGGAGTGATCTTATAGTGGCGAAGCAGATTAATACGGTGCATAAAGTAGTTTAAGTACTGCAATTTCTTATTGCCCTCCGTATTGAGACAAAGCTCCATACTGCATGAGTATGCTGATAATTTACCAAAATTTTTATAAATCAACATAAAAATCCTGCAAAAGCTATAGCCAAAAAATAAAAATAAAAAAGGATTGCAGAAAGATACCTCCTTTATGCAGCCATGAATAAGCATCAATACCCACCTGTAGAAGAAAATAATAATAATAAATAAAATGATTACATTAATCTTAACTGAATCATTGAGAGGGGCAAAAAAAAAACAAATCAAATGGCAAATGAATCAAGATTAAAAATAGGATGACAGGGGCAGAATTTACGCGCTTGCCGGCATATTTCTTGATGTTAATGGGTTCAACATATGGTTTCATGAACTTGAGCAGATATTTGATACCCATTTCCTCTTATCTTGAACGAATTTTTTTTTTTTTTATCTCTTTTAATTTTCTGATTTTGTAAGTGAAAAATGGAGGGTTGTGGAAGATAGAGAAAATGGCGGGAAAAAGAGCAAACGTCTGACCCAAAAAAAAAACACATTAATCTAGGATCCAGCGAAACTATCATGTGACACACCTGTGAGGTAAATATTCTGTTACCACCAGTAGTAGAAGACCACCTAAGAGAAGAGATAATTGAAGAAAGTTTGATGGGAACGCGCGAGCTATGATTGGTTGTTGCTTTAAGATTTGACAAAGTGTGACGAGAGTTTGTTAATCCTACTCCACCAAATACCGCGAAACGAATTTTTAAGTTTTGGCCAAACGTGAAAAAACTCCCGAGTTCTGTCGGCTTTTTAGTCATAGCAATATACTAGATTTTTTTTTTTTTTAAGTTCATCGGTCATGTATACGTTGGTCAATTTACGTGCTTTCGATTTGATCAAAACCAGGTCATGCATGTTGGAACTAAAAAATTTGTAAGAGAAAAATTTTTCATGATCTAATTTTCAAATTCAAAATGTTTAAATTTACAGTTGAGCTATTCCTTAGAGTTCGTTTGTTTAATAAGAGAATGATAGAAAATGCTAGAAAGAGAATATTTTAAAATTTTTCATATGTTTGGTTAGTATGAAAAAGAAAATGATGGAAACAATAATTTTCTTTCATGCATGAATTTTCTCACAAATAACCAACTTTTTTTTCTTATAAAAAACACAAGGAAATGCAAGAAAGTTGTGATGTATAACTAGCTTCCTATTTTACTTTTATTTTTCTTAAAATATTCTATTGGTTATTAATTTTAAAAAATTTTGGTATGCATTTGATTAATCATATAATTTTGTCCAAAGACCTTTATATTGGTGATTGCCTTAAAATTAAGTTTTGAACCTTTTTTTAAAAAAATTTTTAACTTTCAATTATAATTACATATATATTTTTTTAGACCAATTTAACATAATTAAGGGTAATTTAGATAATTATAAAAAATTTCTTATAACTTTTATTTTTTTCAAACAATATAATGAAATTTTTTTAAAACTTTACGATAAATTTTTCATTCTAACCAAATACATGTATAAAAATATATTTTATATCATTTTCTTTTCTTTCACTTCACTTTCTATCGTTTTTAGTTTTCATAATTTTTTTCTTCCTAACCAAACGAACTCTTAAAGTTAATATACTAGAGTTCAAATAAGCGTCATTGTACGCAATATTGGGATAATCCCACATGTTGTATAATGGGCCAATGCCCTTGAGATAAACTATCAACTGTATTGAGTAAGTAGATTTGTATTAGGTTTTAGTGGGTTTATGTGAAAAATTATTCAACATATATACGATTCATTTATTTAAATGAGTGACAATTTATAAATCAAATACGATTTGTTTATTAAATGGATTACACGACACCACTCGTCTAACCTATTTTATAAACGAACCATATTGGGTAGAGTCGAGTTAACGCAATAACCCTTTTAACTCGCCACCCATTTGTCATAAAATTTTTTGTATAACTAATTAATAAACATTACTGCTAACTAATTAACATAAAAATATGACATTTAGTGATGTCAACCCACATCAAGAAAATATTTAAAACTATAAGTATGAACTCATCAAAAAACCAAATTAACAATCCAAATAAGAGTAAAACACACAAATGGTTCACCAACCTAATTCAGCAAACGTAAACAATCAAATTCCACCAAATCAAATTTTATTTAAAAAGGTAAAAGGGGGGATAAACAGGTTGACATGTATCATTTACACTTGATCTGTTTAAAAAATTTGTCCACCCGTTTACCACCTTCACCAGTTAAAGTATCATCTAAATCTGCTTAACTCTATGTCAATTCATGTTGGTTAATTATGTTGTGGCACATTTTGACAAGCTCCCTGAGGAGTAATTTTAAAAGATTTTGTGTTTCATTTATAATTTTAAGAAATTCAAATTTTTTTAAAACTTAGCCTCTCTAAGAATTTGAAAATTTAGGATTAGTTCTATATTGTACAAAGGGTTAATTGCATTGAAGGTCCTCAAAATATGGAGTTTGTCTAATTTTGGTCCACAATATTTTAATTACATCATTTTGATCCCTAAATTATTGAATATATTTCTATATGGTCCCTCAAGCAGATAGCGTCTAGATTACTAATAATTTTTTATCATAAACTTGTCACGTGATACTTAAATATGAACAAAAAAATAATTTGGATAAATATTGATCAAATTTCTACTCAAATTTTGGATAAATAGCTACCCAAATTACACAATTTTGATAATAAGCTATTTAAATTTTGGTCAAAAGTTACCCATATTACACATTTTTTGTTAAGAGCTACCCCAATTTTGTTTCAAAGCTATCAAAATTATTTTTTGTCTATATTCAGGTGTTACGTGACAAGTTTATGATAAGAAATTGTTATTAATTTAAATGTTGTACGCTTAAAGGACCATATAGAATCATATTCAATACTTCAAGGACAAAAATGATGCAATTGAAACATTGGGGACTAAAATGAGACAAAATTCATACTTTGAAAACCTCCAGTACAATTAACCCTTGTAAAAATTAAACAAAATTATTTCATAAATGAAAACCTGGACTTAAACTTTGTTCACACAACCCCCTCTAAAAACTTTCTCTTCTGTCTCCAATTCTCTTTCTTTCCTCTACCACGGCACAACAAGTCATCAACGCAAAAGTCGATCACAACTTCAATTCCCCTTCCCTCTTCCTTGTCGATCAATGACGATAACACAAAACTTATGATGTAGTTGAATGATTGAAAACCACTAGTTAGCATTCATTTATAGACGGGTTAATAAATTAGATTTTGATATGAATTTAATTCTTTATTTTGTGAATTGATATTTTCAACTGATAATCTGAGTTCAAATTAGTTCATGGATTCAACATTGGATGTACCAAATTAATTTAATCATGATCCAGACCGATTTCTATGTACATATGTAGGAATATATGATGAAATTGAGTAGTTATTTGATAAATTTAGATTGCAAATATGATTTTAAGTAGTTATTTAAGATATTTTGATATGGATTACAAAAATAAGATTTGCTAAATGATCGAATTGATTTGGAATAAAGGTTTCAAATCAAATTTTAGATCAGAGTTGTCACACCCCATCCTGGGAAGAGGGATAAGGTGTGGGTAATTCCAAACTCATTAACCATTAATCTTCTATTAAATCAAAGTAACTAATCTATACACTAATAAAATTATCTCTTCTCCCATAGTATCGAAAAAGGGATAAGGTGTTGGTAATTCCAAATAAATTAACCATTAATCTACTATTTAACCAAAAAATTCATAATGGCCATATCTAGTTCGAAAAGCTATCTTGGATATGTCACAATCTTTCACCTTCAACTAATGATAACCTGATCGAAAATCAAAATTTGAAAATACCTTGGAACCTTATAACTGATCCAACAAATTGTCAATGCATGGTAGTGGGTACTTGTTCCGTATAGTTACCTTATTTAGTTGTCGATAGTCAATACACATGGTCTAACAGTTCCTGTAATTGAACCTTTAATTCTTTCAATTCAGCTAGAGCCATATGGTTTAGTGTACTTGAAATTGGACTAGTGCCCAGTACCAACTGAATGGTAAATTCAACTTCTCTATCAATAGGTACAGGTGGCAATTCTTTAGGAAATACATTTGTAACTCTCACACAACAGGAATATTTCCTAACTTAGGACTGCCCTTTCGTGTATCCTTCACATAGGCCAAATACCCTTGACACCCCTTCCTTAACAACATCATAGCTTTAAGTGCAAAGATCAAACTCGTAGAAGCTGTAGGACGAGCACCATAAAACCGAAATACAGGCACATGCAGAACCTGGAATACTACTTCCTTATGGAAGCAATATATGGAAGCATGATATGAGGATAACCAATCCATAGCCCAGATCAAATCAAAATCCTAGATGTCTAATAGTATCAAATCCATTGATAACTCCCTATCACCTATATGCATAACACAACCTCTACAAACAGTCTCTGCTTGTGAAACCCGGATAAATTTGAACTTTTTTTTAAAAAAGGCAGAATGGTAATTTGTCACTATAATGTGGGTTTAAAATCAGTATTTTATAAAGCTCGGATGATGTAACGCACCTCACCGTTGGATTCGTATTGTGAAATTGAGTTGCCACATCAATTTTTGTCGAATTCCGAGATAGTCGAATTTTATATATTTTACTAGACAACTGGGTGACAAATGAACTTTTAAACGTCCCCAAAAATAAAAATTATGAAATTTCCTTATAATTGAGTAAAAGTTCAAATAAAATTAATTTGAACTAAAATCAAAATTTAATTAAGTCGTTTCGGCTTAAAAACGGGCTCGAAAATGATAAAAAAGTGGGACAATGTGGACCACGCAATTAAAAGTATAAATAGGGCTAAACATCTAAAAAATCATATATTTCTCAAACCTTAGTCGGCTGAGTTCAGGCGTGTGAAGAGAGAGAAGAGAGAAAATAGAAATTTCTACCTTTCTTCTCCGATCCAAGAAGTTCTGTCGGTCGGAATCCTTCGGACCAAGAGTTAAAGTTGGTC